ACTCACAGATAATCACTTGTTGTATAACATTGTGTCGTGCGTCCCATTTCATCGCGGACCTTTTCAGCTCCTACGCCATAATTATGCACACAAATTTCGCATTTCAATTGTACAAGGATCCTGTCGACCACAATGCTCCTGATTCCCTTAATCTTTAGAAGGATTATTTCTTTTTGTATTTTGCATGTAGTCTTTTTTTTTTTTCTGGTCACAAGTTTTGCAAGTACTCTATAATTACAAAAAAAAAAAAAAATGGTTTCAATGGTTTTGACTATTGTACACATAAACTTTTTCAACAGAAGAATATATGTTTTATGTTCATTTATTAAATTTATTTCATATATTTGTATAGTAGTAATTTTTATCTTCATTTATTACGAATTTTGCATAGTAGTAATTTTTATGTTCATTTCTTAATTTGTTCCATATATTTTTCACGACACTTGTTGCTTTGGAAAACTTACATGAAAAGAAATTAAAAAATATAAGTGAGAAAAAATCATAAAAATATGTGAGATTATGATAATTTATTTAAACATGGAGAAATTACAAAAATACCACTTTTTATGTGCACATTTGCAAAAATGCCACTTAGGAATGTTCATTTGCAAAAATGCCACTAATTATAGATTTTTAAATCCTATATCTTAAAATTCTAAACACTAAAAAATGGTTTGACCCCTAAACCCCCTAAACCCTCGTAACTAAATCCTAATAGAACATAATTAACCCAAATATAAATAATATAAAGAAAAAATAATTTTTAAAAAGTGGTATTTTTGTAAAAATTTCAAAAGTGTGATATTTTTGTAAAGTGGCACTTGAAAAGTGGCGTTTTTTGAAATTTCTCTTTAAACATTTCATTATTATCTAACTATAGTTTTCAAAATATATTGTAAATTTTTATCAAACAAAATATATATTAGAAATAAATAGAAATTTTAAAATCAATTGGTTTTTATTAATTTTATATTCTTGCGCATGACAGTGGACATCATTTAGTGCTTTAATATATAAGAGATTCAGCAAGCATATGGACAACTCTTATATGGCTCCATAATTATGTAACTGGATATAAATGACTCTTTACAGAATGTTTCTTTTTTATATTATAATAGATATGACTTGTATTTAGTTTTTTTTAAAAGGTTTTACATAAATATTGTAAGAAGTCCACTGGATTAGTCAGAATTTCCTTAACAATATATATAAGGTGAGGCATGCAATGTGATGATCGAATCTTATTATTTTATTTTTATTTTAAATGCTTCTTCGGATTTTGAAAGGATAAAAGTTGATTTAGCAAATATGTATCCACAATGATTATGGCCGGGTTTCGGTAAACCAAGTCGAGAAAATATTTACTTAAATCTATGATTTAATTACAACTACAAACGATCTCAATGTTTTTATTTTTATCATTTTTCTTCGGCTCAA